TTTCATTTGGCTAACATGGACTATATTTTGCATTACTTTTTTGACGTTACGTTTATTTAACTAATTCTGAGAGGTCTGGTTGAGCAGTGAGTTCTCTGGCTGTTGGTGCCATCTTGACTTTGGTTCCATAAGCGAAACCAACCTATAGAGCATTTCTGGCGGTCTCGTCCTAGTTCACGCTCACGTGCGTCACAACAGCCTCAGCACACTTCCTCCCCTGCTCAAGGCCCAGGAGCAGAATGACAGACGGCAATGAGGTTGGTTCGGTAGAGTTGTGGGAGGGCTGCGACAGAAGGTTTAACACACTGTACCTCCTTTGAGATACCACTTTTACTTCTGTTTTTCAGATCTTCCTAAAATTTATAGTATATATTTGATAAAGAGAACATCTTTCAATGCTTTACTCTTTTTAAATTCTTGAGTCTTAGGGGTGCAGTTTACAAAGGAATGTGCTTCTTTAGTGCTACCTTTGTTATAAAAACCTTTGCCATAAATGTAACCTATATACAAGCAGATTACTGTTCTTATACCTATATACAACCAGACGACTGTTCTTGTAGAAGAAGTTGCTTTTTCGTGCAATGAAATTGTTTTGATCCTCAATACGTACGCTGGAAAAATGCTGCACAACAGTAAACAAAACAAATAGGAGGATATCTTCAAATCTTATGCCTGACACTTATACCAACAAAATCAGTTTACAAATCTGCATGGTTTTCCCTAAAACAGTTTAACTAACACTTAGCACTGAGGCATGGGGTGTGTCCAGAAAAATGCATTTTATTGCCTGGAAACCAAGCTGTTTGGCAGCTGAGAAGCGGTGCCTGCGTTCTCTCCTGTCCCACATGATTAGAACCGTAAATGAAAAATCATCATCAAAATAGCAGTAAATAAAAAAATAATGTTAAATGAAAGGACATAGGATAATATAAAGGTCTCTTAAATATCTAGGCTAGTGACGTGAAACTCATTCAAAACTTAAGAGTACTACAACATTAAATGTAATTATAAAGATATTTTAGCCTCCTTAAGCATATCATTCCATGAGGTATATGCAGCAATATTTTGGATATTTGTCAGTCTGGGAAATACGTGATATTTCAAAGTGGAATATAGTTTTCTCACACAACGTGAAGGACATTCAGTATCATCATCTTAGAACTGTGCAGGGCTTTAGAAAAATTAACTAACTTGCAACCCTTGGGTAGTGAGGGGTTTATAGACAGGAAGCTTATACAGAGATAAAGTGGTTTGCCTAAGGTCACAGCCAGAGCCAGAGCCGAGATCAGTACACAGCAGCGCCTGATTAATGCATTGGATCACTCTGCCCATCTTTCACGAGAAAGGCCAGCTATTTATTTTATTGTAGCATTAAATAAATACTTTAGGAGGTGCTCTTTCAGCTGGGAACTACAAACCCTAGGAGGTGCAGTGCTGTTTAAAACAGCTCAGCGTGCTAGTGTTGCTGGAACTGACAGCCTGCCCCGTTTGTATTTTTAAATCAGACTCCATATAGAAAAAATAATATTCACTGCTTACCTTTCTGTTTTATGCTGTGAATGATTGTCCTTCCCTGTTCATCCATAGCCAGTAGAAATGTGGTAATACATTCATTTTCCCCCTGCAAAGAGCAGGGAATGGATTTATCCTCTGAGTAATCTAAAAGGGGGAAAAAAGGCATCCAGCAGATCAAGAGAAATTTAACATGTAATAACAAGAGAAATTAATGGCATAATGTCTGTCACAGCCTTGTCTGTATACAGTAAAGAGGGAAAGACAAATGCAGAAATGCCCTCACAGAGCTTCTACTAAATTTAACAACTTTTTTTCTGCTCTAAGTTTCTTTGTTTTGCTTTCTTTCAGATTTTTCACTTATATTCCAGAAGAACTGATCCAGGTGCTGTCAATCTGCATTGACCATCAAATGCACCTGATTAATTTGGCGTAGTGTGAATTTCAATGAACTGGAAGTTCTTCCAAGACACTTAACCACCAGCTGTCTAGGAAATGTAATAGTCCCCAATTATAGGACAAAGTAAATAGTAAGTTCTCTTTGATTTAGAGCTACTCCTAGCATGTCTAGATTATGTTTCAAAAGTAGATATACACGGACCAGACAGAAATTGATACTGTTAAAAGGGCTGCCATTTATTTCTTCCACAATAGTTCTCTCAAAAATTAGCGTGTCATGTATTGTCACAACAGTAAATATAAATTAATAACAGCAAACTGCAATTCTGGGATCTTTGTAATGTGATTCAATGGAAAGCAGATTAAAAAGTAATCTGAGATGACAGTCTGCCCAGTTTTACTTGTCCCTCCATTTAATGTAGATCTGCAGGAAAATTGAATCCATTTTTTTCAATGATTCCTAACTGGGAAACCTTTTCTACTGAGAAAAGTTCATTCAAAAGGCCAGAGGGGAAAAGGGTGAAGCAAGCAGTGACAGGCAATGAAAACTAAGTAAGCTGATCAAAAATTGAGACTACAGGTCCAATGCCAGAAATGCCACAATTCTGAGCCTACCCATTATATAATATTTTTACAGAGCAAAAGCATCCTGCTTCATAACTGCCTTTATAAATATCTCTACAGCTGAATGCTTGTTATATTTCCATATAAACCATGATTTTAAAGAGCATTGGTAAGCTAGCTATGCTTTTCAATACATTTTTTAAAAAACTTCTTTGGTTGTTGTAATTTGTAAAGGTAAGAAAAAACAGTAAGTTTTTCAAACATTTTTTTAATGACAATCGATTGCCATTTCCAATTTGTCCATCCTTTCTTCTCCAGTCAAAGCACTGAACTGAAATTGCATAAGCAACTATGCTAAAAATCTTAAGTTCTCAAACTTAAATATCAAGACAACAAATGAAAAACAGAGTAGGAATCTAACTTGAATAACAGGATTTTAAAGAAAGCTATTGAGCATGAAGAATTAAGTGATCACTTTTTTTTTTTTTTTGAATATATTGCATGCTGTCATAAGGTTTGGTCTTCCCGTATATCGAACACTGGTAAACTGTTCAGAGAGTATGGAAATGTAAGTAGCTGAATACCCTACTGTCATTTTGTCTGCTTTTTATAAACTGAGGATCACAGCTGGTTTGATTTTAGTGGAAACATCCTCTTGATTTGTGGTAGTCTTACATTTAACCTGTTGTCTGTCCTTGATGCTATAGAGCGATATGTTATCTATCAAGATAATAGGCAGACAAGACTTGCTGATGTAACAAGACTTGTTTGTGTTGAAAGGACTGAAAACTCCAGACTGAGTGTACTGAATTGGTGACACTCATTACCAGTTCACAGTTCCAATAATACTATCACAAATTTTGCAATATTTGGTGTTTCCCAACTCTTAAGCAAGAAGAATTCCAAAGAATTTCAGCTCTCTTAAAAAAAAAAAAAAAAGTAGCTTCTAGTCCTCCAGAGTGCAGAGGAAAACTTGGAAGCAAGTTCCAAGTATCCTAAAACCCCAGAAAATAGAAATTGCAAATATATTAGTTATTTTTAAAATAAAATTTTTAATTTAGTCATAATTTGAGACCAAGGGATGCAGAAATTTGATTTTGTGCAAGGCCTTAGAAATGAAGGCAGCAATGCTAGTTCAAGTTATTCAGAACTCAACTTATACTTAGCATTTTTATTTCTCAGATGTTGCTTTTAGGGTGAGGGATCACTAAGAGACAGTATTGCTTGGGCTATTTTTAATTCATTTGCACAAAACCTTACCTCTGTAGCTATACCTGTGTAATTAACACCTGTGTAATTTTCTGTTCTTTAGTGAAACACCATACTTTTCCCACCCCTGATAACAGCCTAATTCCATTAATTTCAATGGAAGTTGATATCAGTGGAGTCATACTGGAATAAAAATTGGGTAACAGTAGCAAGATGGAGCCTCAAAATGCAGAAAAGCTAAACTGTGTCATAACAGACACTTAGATAAAGGATGCAACAAAAATGTTGACTGTGAATGTAAGTGTCATTATGAACTCTCCTTTTTGTCTTTTGCTCAACAAAATGCTTTTTGGAGACACTTTCATCTAACTTTGAGAGAGAACAGTAGAGTGCTGAGTTAGAGGCTTATTTAGGCTCCGTCACCCACTTTCCTGCGGGATTAACATTACAGCAGAGCAACAGGGGAGAGAAGCAAATGGTGGATCCAGGGCTTTAGGTATTGTGGTTCCTCCTGGGTAGCAACTAGAGCAGCAAAGATTCACCTTAAACACATCTGGCAAAGAGGTGATCAGCTCCTCTTTTGAATAAAAATCCAAATATTCAAAATAGGTGAAAATAAAATAAATATGCAAAAGAGCTATCTGCCATTGAGATAAGCCATAGCTCAGTAAATGTGAAAGCATCAGCACCTCGACAGCTGCTGTGTCATCACATGCCCTGCTTGATCTGCTAGGCGGGGTGCGCTGGTGCAGGCTTCCTGCCCGGCGGCCGTGCGAGTGACCCTGCTGCAGGAGAGCAGGAAGGGAAACCACAGCCCATGCAGAACTGAAACTCGGTAGGCAGCAGGCACCGTCAAGGGTATAAAACGGGCATCCAAAGAACGACAAAAAAAGTGTGCACTTTTTTTTAACTGCTCCCCAGTTGCAGTCGTTATGTTGTAATGATGGGTAAAAGAAAGTAAATCGGTATTTAAGGCACTAATATTTTACTTAATTATACAACCTAGAGATATTTCAATTTTCAGAAAGTCTTGAAACGCTAAAGAAACTGAAATATAAAACAGAAAGAAGCATTGTGGTGCTATATGAAGTTACGCTAAAAATTCATCTTAAATACTGTGCGGTGCTCTACCTATAGTATTTTTGAAATCTTTGGGTGATCAAGTTTTGATTTTAGGATTTAGGTTTTTTGTTTTCGATACTTTTTTCCTCAGGACTCCTTAATGAGGCTATCTCCATGCCACAACCAATCATCTGAACTTTTATACAAGCATTTTGGAGAAAAAACAATTTGTAACAGCTTTTTTTTTTTCTTTGAGGGATTAGAACGGGAACAGTTATCCAGCCTTAACTACAGCGGTTTCTAATTGCTGAAAACAAATTTTGAATCTAAAGAAGTAGCTGACAGTCACAACCAGAGGAGCACACGACTTAAAAAAAGGAAATATGCAGGAAGAGGAGAGCCTATCGTCACTCTCATATGCCTGCTGCCAGTGTGTGTGAATAGAGCCATATGAGTGACTGCTCCTGATTTTGATTAGCATTCACTATATTAGCAAATACAATGACTTACGTATTCTTAGCTACAGACATCTGTCATCTGGTGATAGCAATCTGCAAACTTTACTAACTACATAGGTACGATAAAAGTGCTGAAATGTTTTGGTGTGTGGCTGCTTCCCCTGCCACTTGCAGGCCTTTAACAAGTATTCCTTATCTGTTTTTGAAACTTGTAGAGAACTGTTTGTATTTACGTACAAATACTAATGTCTGAAAAGGCATAACTCAAATAATGTTTTAATAAAAATATAACATTAGAATAAGCTTTCCTTACAAGGGAAATATTTGCAACTTTTGAGCTCTATATTACGGAGTAACACCTTCAAAACCAATAACGCTGGAGTTTCTGACAGGTTTCTGACAGTTTAGCAGACACATGCATACAGCATTCTGTAGAGGCAGACCTCATTAGCCTAATTATTACGTTTGTCTGATTTAATGCTAATATTAGGTCTGTGATGTAGGTATAACACACCTATGTACTGCATCACCTTACAATTGCATTTTGCCATAGGGCTGGAGTTGTTACCATTAGAACAAATACCGAGTGCCTACTGTTCAGGCAAGCATCTTCCTCTACAGGCAAAAAAAGAAGGAAAAAAAGGGGCTTTAATGCAATATTTCATTTCAAGTTACATTTCTTTTTCTGTGAGGGTAATGTTTCATTCAAGGTCAATGTCTATTCTGGGAACTTTCATTGATGGATCGCAGCTGCAGATTACTGTGAGCAATGGATGATGCATTTAGCCTTTAGGATACTAGAAATGTCTCTGTAAAAACCGACAAGAAGCAGAATGTCTTTACACAGATTAAAGGGCTGCGTCTAGGGGAACTGCCTGCTGTAATCAGCAGTCTGCATGACGACTGGAATCAGGTTTTGTGTTTGTAAGACAAAAGAAGCCGCAGCGTAACTTATGGTACAGGCGTGACTTGACCTCAGGGGCTTTCATCAGCTACTGATTTACAGGGAGTGGTATTTATTAAATTCTGTTCTTTCTTATAAAAACTGCTTAGAGAGTCGGTGTGTTCCAGTCAGTTAATGAACCTGGAGGTGTAAAAACAGTTCTGATTCGCAGTTCCTCGCTCCCACAGAACAGCTATAGAAGCCAGCGATTGACCTATGAGCACTAATATAAGTCCATGGCAGAGAAACAAGGCTACTTTCAAATATAAAATTACTGAAAGGGGAAACTATCTCTAATCACAAAAAAAAAAAAAAAAAAGGATTGAGCGTACAAACCCTCCGCAGTGCTGACAGTTGCATCAACCAATTTACATTTGTCACTGCATTCTCCCTGTGACTTGTCATCAGAAGTCAAATGACATTCTACACAGCTCCTGCGGAATATAATTCAACAACTCATCAATCTCTGCCTGTCACAAAGCACCAATATAAAGGCAAGTACATATGTATCTACATTTTAAAAAAAGCTAAACAAAAGGTCTTGTGCTATGGATACAGTAGTTCTCAGAAATATGATAGGTATTGCCACCAAAAAAAAGAAAAAAAAACTGAATAAAGGTATTGTGGATAAGCTCTTTCTTGTCCTCTTTCTCTCCCAGATCTTATTAGCTACCAGACAGAACCCCAGGCTACATTATTCATGTAGGTCTATTAAAGACATAGGGTTACTCACACATAACAGTCATTTTCAAAAATAAATATTCTGAGCTAAGCTTACACTAAATACCAGTCAAAGGAATGTCTATCAAATGAACAATATTTGATATCGACTTCAGAGAGATCAAGCTGGGGCACTTACTATAAGTCTTCCTTTGTTGAAAGTCTCTTGAATAATGTATTATATCTACCAACTGACTAAAAACACTGTTCAGGTGTCTCAACAGATGTCTCTTGAATGTGATTACTTGTCTCAGGAATTACTTACTTAAATGTTAATTATACTAATGCAATTTATTGGAAGAGAATTTCCAAGTTATTTACTTTATTTAATGATGGAATGACTAGGATATTTTTAAAAAAAACAGAGAGTCTAAATCAATTCCCTTAGAAGCCTGTGAAAAATTTAACAGCGACACAATGGGGCTTTTAGTAAGTCCAGAGTTAATTCATGGAAAAAGGAAAAAACAAACACAATTCATATATGAAAATTCTGGAAAGGGAAGGAGAAAGGGAAGGGGGAAAAAAAAGAGAGAGGAGAGGGAAAATAAAAACGGAAAAAAAAATAATATGGAAAAAGAAAAAAGAAAACTAAGTAGAAGAACAACAATCTCAGCAAAACATCCCAAGAAAACCTGTCCATCTCTTGTTGCATTGAGTTACATATCTCCATGAGAATAAAGCTGAGGCTTCCGAGATTATCTCCACAGGATGGAGGTGACCTTATCACTAGCTCTGGAAGCGGTGAATAGAAAGAGTGAGTGGGTAATGGGATAGCCTCTATCTAACGGAGATAAATTCAGTGTTGTTGGTGTTTTTGTCATATTTGCCATGTTTCTCATACTACCACTCTCTTTTTCTCAGCTGCCTATCCATTAATCTCCATCCCCCCTGACCTGGTCTTTTAGCTCTTTCGGTTACCCTATCCAAGTATTCCAAATGTTCTGTCTCTTTTGGCTTTCCTTGCCCTGCATTTCAGCAATGGAAGTGACCGCAAGAGAGAGAGAAAAGATCTAACATTGTGTAGAATATACATGTTTGAATAGGCTAATGTCCATCATGTAACTTAATATTCCTTATTATTCTCTGCCAAGCTGGGCACAGCAAAGCAGCATCATTGTACTTAGCATTTAGAGCTCTTGTACACAAAATTTTTCTGTACTTAAACTATGCTTACTTAGGCCTATGTGCCTGAGGTTTGGACAAACTGATCAGCTTGCTTTGATAGGTCAAATTCAGCGGTAACATAAATGACAACTAAATTACATGTCACAAAATAGATTCTCCTCTCACATATAGTATACTTTGGAAAGGCATGCATGAAAATACAACTTGAGAGAGAGCTTATGGTGGAAGAGAAATGGGCCTCGGTTCTAAATAAATAGATGTGACATAGTCATGAAACATTAATGCAACTTACACTGACTCAGGGCTTAGCAAGCAAAACCAATGTCATTAATAACTAGTGGTCTGTGATTCCTAGCTTAAATTTGCACTTATGCCTGCTCATTATGGACAGACTTCAGCCCTGCAAGAGCTCAAGTAATACATGCATAAGCTTGTGTGTATTTAGAGGGGGTCAGTTTTATTTTGCATACACTTTTTAGTTGCTTTTCCTATCATGAACAGTAGCACACACCATGCATCACAGCAGGCAACCTACATATGTTTTGTATGCTCAGTGAATAGGAGACACTTTACCATTTACAGTCAATTTATCACAAACTTACACACGACATACAACTATCCACTGATTTCATTCCTAGACTATGACCTAGTTTATCACGGTTGGGCCTGTTTAATTCAACCAAGTTGAACCGAATTTGGCATATGAACTTGTGCATATGTAAAGCCTGCGCAGGGATTATGACCTTATTAATTCACATACAGAAGAAGATTAATCCAAATTCCAGACTTTTCTCGGTTTGTTCCCTGTGAGTTCTCCTTTTTTGCTACAGTGGCTGTGCTGGGGTTTTTTCATTCTGTACTGTGGAGAGAAGGAGATTCGTCTGTATTTGCCGGATATTATCACTTAAGGCCACCATGCTGATTACTTGTACTATCAGAAACAACGGTGGAAATGTGATCTTTTACTTGTGCTATCTGGAGGTGTTTAAACCACTTTCCTTAAAGGTCTTTTGTACAGGAGCAATGCTGAGAAATGGTTGATGTCTGAGTTATGACCACTCCTCAAGGACACAGAGAAACTCATATTTTGGTCTGTAGATCCAATGAAATTGCAGCAGTAAACACACTCCTGAGTCAGTAGATACCTGAATGATACAAAAATCAGAGAGGGTAAAACCAGCACGTTACCGTTTGGAACTGCAAGGGTCACCGCACAGAGGGCATTTTTCACATGTGCTGCCTGAAGCCCCTGGATGTGTGCAAGCACACGACCCGCAGATGCATTCGCCTCTCCCACTGCACAGCGTCCCATCCTCAGAAACGCAGGAGCCAGTGTCAGTTGTGCAATTACAGTATTCACCAGTCCATCCACTGTGGCACACGCATTCACCGCAATCACAGTCACCGTTGCCTGGAAAAACAATCATTATACCTAAGGTGAGTGTTTTAATATAAACCTGAATGATTGTCTTTAAAATCATTCTCCTTAATAACAGATGTTTTCACCACTGCAACTGTTTGTACTCTTCAACCATCCCTCTTCCTCCCCCAAAATTTCAATTTTAAGCTAGAGGATCAAATTTTCACTTAGGCTGGCTGCAAGCCAGCGCAACGCCATTCACTTCACTGGAGTCCTCCAGATAGATTCTTATCTCCCGACCGTGCACAACCTGATGGGTAAATCCTCTTTCGCTAACAGAAGCATAATTCCAGTCTATCTAGTCAGCACCCTGTCGTTGCAGGTTCATGCCAGTTTAATCCTATTCCCAGTTTTACCAGAACCACTTCCGATTTATAATGGTGTAGCCCAGAAAAATAATAAATGCAAACTCTCTAATTCTTATTATATTCGTATTGAGAACAGCTGAAATCATTTAGGTTACTGAGTTAAAATTTTAAAAGATCACAATTAGCATAAAAGGGATTAATTAGATGGGTGCACTTTGGTAATTATGTCAGAGTGAGATTGTACAGTGCTTAACACTAATGTATGTCAATATACTTACCTAAACTTCCTTGGAGCTACAACCATTACAGCTATTAAAAGTCTGACCCAGTGTGCTGAAAGCTGATCTGCTCCAGTAAAGTTACGCCAACTTGTATTAGCTATGGAGTGCTTACCGACGTATCATTTTAAAATTTGAAAACAAAGTTAAAAATTGTGTACTGGTTTTAAATTAAAGATAATTCAGAAATACTAAATTGCAGCACTTTATACGGAATTGATTATAATTTAATATATCACAAAAAGAGATATTCATAAGATCATAGCTAAGAATGAGACAATAATGATCTAAAATATAGACAGTTAAAAACAGTTCAGAGGGAACCTACCTCCACATTGAAGTCCTCTATATCTCACACAAGAGAAGTCATCGCATTCACAGTGTGGCCCGTAAACTTTTCCATACATTGAGGAGTGACAAACACACTGTCCACAATAGCAGTCACCTCTCCCGCTGCAGGAACTCTGTTCTGCAGAGCCCTTGCAAGAATTAGTGCCGAGTGAATTTTCATCACATTCACAGTGGGGACCCATGTAGCCAGGGTTGCAGATACACACTCCACACTCAAAAGATCCCTTCCCCTTGTTGCACTTTGAGCTGTTCACCTCAGCCTTCGCCTGACAGTTACAGCTGCATTGTGGATGAATTTCAATTTCCAGGGCATCACTGAGACCCACTGGTTTTATCACAACATGCCTTCTATTTTTTTCGCAGGTAGGGAGACTTACAGTCATATTAAAAGAGACCTGGAAGAGAAAATGTTGTCTGTTCAGAACTGCGGTACATATAGGACTGCAGGATAGTCTGGAAGCACGTGCATAGGAGCACAAGAATGCATTGGATATTGCCAGATTTCTTGTAATTCATTTGAGGGATATTATTTAATAAAGAACAACCTTCTACCTTGGTAGTCTAAATTCTCTGTAATTAATGTCTTTTGAGAATCTGTTCTTTACTTACTGTATCTCCCACTTTCACATGCGAGCATTTCCTCTGATGCTGAAAAAAGGTCTCATTGTTACAGATTGCAGTGAAAGAGAGATTGAGTCCTTCTGTGTCTCCGAAGACCTCCAGTTCTACTTCAGATCTCAGCTCCTTAAAGAAAAAGGAGTGATGAATGGATTGATAACATTACCAAATGCTGCTAATGTTCCACATCTGTGTAACATGGACTGTAATTTATCCCTACTTATACAGGAGTAAATTCATGGGTTTGGCACTTCATTTACATACTTCTCTATTGCAAGAAAAATGGAGAACGAGTAAAAGAAAAAAATGCCACCAGCAACAGCTTTCAGATGAAAGCAATGCTAGTATCAGTTTAATATCTAGTATCATGGTGCTTATTTCCTGTCCTTGCAGGGGAATAAATTCAATGCTTTATTAAATCATCTTTCATTACTAAGTGCTCTGTTGACTGATACAGGTTTTGGCTGTGGTCTTACTGAGGAATGGATGTGTATCTCTGATTGCATTGCTACCACTGTGCGTTTCTTGATTAGCCAGTGTATATCAATATTGTTCTTTGTTTATCTCCACTATCTGAATCAAGCCTTACAAACTCTCTTACAGCAGAGCAGATGCTGAGTTCAGTTTTGCCTCAGTGTGAGGCCTCCACAACTTGGCCTGATGTTCCCAGGGCAAGAGCCAGGATCTAGTTCTGCAATTAGCTCACACGGCTTTGTTCTTTTTTTCTCTGGATGGAAACTGTTGCTTCATGAGCTGTTGATGCTATTGGAAGACATATTCAGCAATGCCCTCATTTCTTAAATCAATTTGTAAAGTCGAGCTTTCATTTCTTAAATGAAAAAAGCTCTTCAGTTTACTTCCTGAGTGCTCTCATACTCAGTTTTTTTATGTTTAACTCCAAAATACTTTTATGTCAACTCTGATTACACAACTTAGCCTTGATCCTAAGCCTATAGCAAGTCATGGGGAAATTCCCTGTGACTTCACTAGGCTGTGGATCCAGTAAATGGAAATTTTTCAAAAGCATCTCAGCAACAGAGGAGCAAAAGTCTCACTGACTTGGCTTCGTGCTCTCGCAAGCTCAATTGCTTTACAAAATACCCACTGCACTTCAAAGCATCAAGAGCTTGTTGACCTTACTTCAGTGACTCATTCTAGTGAAGGCATCAAGATGACTCATTGTAGTAAAGGTCTGGTGGGGTGAATTACCTGAAACCTGGTGGGGCATTACCTGAAACTAAAAGTAGAATAAGTATAAACCTGCACAGACAATTCCTTGTCCTTTGTACACGTCCCGGATTCTCTGGGGTTTGTCTTAGTTTTTTTTTATTGTGAGTTTTCATTTGGAAAACCTTTTCAGTAAACCAAAGAACTTTAATAAACAACAACAACGCATATCACACAAGACTTATTCACATAATACCCAATCCTCTTTCCAGCATGCAGTCTGAGCAGCAAAGCTGTGCACTGGGCATCAGACAGGTAACGTGGGTAGCTCTGGATGCATGTGCTTTTTCCCCCGCATTTGCCTTGGAGTTAGATGCTTATGTTGCTATTAAAACAACGCAGAGTTTCTTAAATAATAATTTGTTTACAATAGCTGGACTCAAGGATCAAATATAGAAAGCCTCAAGATAAAACTGTGAAAGTTGGTATGTACTTAAGCAACAGGATATATCACTAAATATTCCCACTTCCACCAGCTGCAAAACTGCAAGATTCAAATAGAGTACAACTGTGAGAGAAAATCAAATGCTGCTGAACACAAGCTTGTAACAGTTAGCTAGCATCACAGTGTCTGTATCAGGTCATTATGAACATGCATCCATTTGCTATTGTAAGAAGTGCGCAGTCATCAAAACATACACCTTACTCAGCTGAAAATGAATGCATAGTCCACGACAACTCCAGTTTCTTAGACCCGAATGTCTATGGGAACTTCTAATGGTGTTTTAAATCTACTAAGCTGCCTTGCCGTAGTTTGGGGACAAACTGTGGACAGTTCAGTGAGCTTTAAGCCGTTTACAGAGAAACATTTGTATTTCAAAAATTTTTTCTGAATGAAACAACAATGAAGTGTTATAAACTTGTGCCCTTGCTTATGATACCTATCCTGTTTCAAAATTTTATTTCCTCAATCATCTTATGCCATGAGCAAAAAGGGAGCTAAGCACTGAAAAAAGAGAGTGAAATTTTCTGAAATTTTAAAATACTGGAATAACTTTTTCATCAAAAGGCTTGATTTCAGTCACAATGCAATTCAAACTGGGACTCTGTGATACAAACCTATACAGATTTAATCTTAAAAAAAGAAGGCACAAAATATGCTTACAGAACAAAATGAATCATACTAGGAAAGAAAACGAGAACCCCTTATAACAAATATTTTGACAGCTCAGACTTAACTTGCTTACTTCCTCTCTTGAAGCTTTTAGATAGCAACACATGCATGAATGATATTAGCAAATCTTGTGTTTTTACAGCAAGCACAGAATCTAAAGCACTTTAAAAGTGTTAAAAGATTTTTCCTATTCCGTGGGGCAAATACTTATTTATTTGTGGTTTGCAGGTGAAGAAACAGAGACATTTGGAGTTGTATTACACTGCTGAGAGCATCACAGAAGATCTGTGACAAAAATGGAATTAGATCTTCTGTTTTGCATGTGATTTTTAACCATAAGTCTACCCTTATTTCCCCCGTCCCACCCTAAAAAAATCAGATTTCTTCAGTCATGTCAAATAAGGTGTTTCTCAGTATTTCCTGCTTGGAAGATTTTCAATCATGAAGCAATAGGATTGTTAACCTTTAAGGTTAAATGTAATAAAATGGGCTCCGGGAAATTTTGAAAGCATGACACGTTGCTGCTTGTACAGTTTGTACACTTTCAAATGTATACGGGATATTAAGAACCTATGAGCAATTCTGGTAGATGGTCCAGACACGCTGTACCCAAATTAGGACAGAATGAGTTATGACCCAATTGCAGGAGCACCGTTCTTACATCCACCTTTCTGCTGATCTGAGAGGGGAGCAAACACCAATTTCATAACCCTGTCCAAACTGCGCCCACAGGACAGCTGAACTTGGAATCAACCATAACAACCCAGGAAAGCGCACCTGAGGTCACCACTGACGGCTCTGTGCGATCATCCGCTCAAAGTGCAGCAGCAACCAAAAAGCCAACGGTATGCTGGGCATCAGTACAAGAGAACAAGAGAGGGGACATCCTTTTGCTTCTACATAAAACCTTATATATAAAACCTGTCTTGAGTTCTGCATGCTGTTCTGGTCTCCACATCTCAGGAAGGACACAGTGGAGTCAGAGAAGGTAAAGAGAAGGTCATAGCTGAGGAGAGATTACAAATGCTGGGATTCTCCATTCTGGAGAGGAGAAGACATTGGTGGGGGGGGGGGGCAGTAAATGATTTGGTGATGAAAGAGCACAAAAACCTGAAGACTTGAAGAAAATAAGCTGAACGCAGAGCTGATATTCACCAAATCCTGCAGTGCTTGAAGTAAGAGGTACTCAGTGAAACTTTAAAACATAAAGATTGTTTTGAAATAGGAAAAAAAAGTACTTCTTAACACAGTGCAGTTGAACTCCTTTTTGCTACAGGAGGCTGTGGAAACAGGAAAAACCAGCAAGTTCAAAAAGGGAAAGAATAGGCAAAATATCATGCACAGCAGGTGGGAAATAGGCAAGGATGTACTCTCCAACATCTCTAATACAACATTTGTAGATGCTGGGGAAATATGAAGGGGGATGAACTGCAAAAACTGGCCAGACTGGCATGCTCTCCCTAAACAGCATCTCCTATTGCTATAGCCGGAGACAGAACACTGGGCTAGATGGACCACCGCCCTGACCATGAAGGTCATGCCTTGCGCTCTTATTTCTTAGCAAGAACAGATCCACCACCACTCTGGGCAGAAAGGAGAAATATCCTTTGTTCTAGCTGGCAAACATGAAAGGGAAGGATGTAGAAAAACATCTTCACAGCCTCCAGCAGGAAGGAAGATGCCATGACAACACAGTTTGATGAAGCACTGCTCTGCACCTAGCACAATGTTACAGCAGACGCAGCACTGGGACAATTACTTTATATTCCTCCATTATTCACTGGGCAACAAAATACTGCCCATTTCCGGCTGTTAAATGTAGGTACCTCTGTCTATACTTTACAGTGCCAGCTTCAAGAAATCCTGATAGGAGGCTGGACTGAGGATACGTTAGATTCCAGAAGTGAAATCCTGGTTCCATTGCAAGTTTAGCACGCACTTTCCTCATGCAAAGTTTTCCCTCTGAATTTATTACAATTTGTACAGTCTCAAGATTAATCTTAAAGTTCTTTGCATATTTAACTTTCCATAGGATAGGGAATCTTCTGGTATTTGTATTTCATTTGAAAATAATAACAAAACAATTGTATTGATTTTGTAAGAATTAAAGGAATTTGGTTTGTTTTTCTATCATCAAAACCAAAATAATTTTGGTTATAATAATAATTTTCTTATTCAGCTTATAGGAAGAAGAGCAGAAGAGTTTTAAGTAAAGAAATAGAAAATACCATTTCATAGAATTATTTTTAATTGTAGCAATTGGTAGAGCAAGTTTTTAATAAAAAGTGGGAGGGGGAGAATGAAGAGAGAAATCTGTGGTATATCAGCATATAAGTAGATGTATCCATCTGTATAAAAACTTGTGAAAATGTCCAAAACCATTCCCCTGAAAGAAAGGAATAAGGAAGCTGGGATGCATTTTACAAACAAAGTTCTGAAGAGCAGTACTGTGTTTATGTTCCTGCCATCTTTTCGTATTTCTCTGTATTATCTACAGAAACTTATTCAAGTCCTCTTTCTCAGCCCGTATTATTGCTTTAAAAAACATCAAAACAGCCTCACAGGGGCAGTGTCAAATTGCTAACGCAGAGAATAGCATTCACCACAGAATAGTGCTTCTTTTCCAGATATTCTTGCAGAACAACTGTATACACGCTGTGGTGACAGGTACCGATAGGACTAGAGCTGCATCACAGTGGAAGTACCAGACGAGAAGACCTGAATACCTATGTTAAAGAAATCTTCAGAATAAGTCTGAAACAGAGGACTATGAAGAAGACAAGACAAGTGACACGCTGACACGAAATTTAGCATTCCGACTCAAGTAAGGAGTGACGGACATTTTGTAGGAGTTTTGTTTGGAAAAGCATGAAAGTTGCATATAGTTCTAAATAACACAACACTGAACCTTAAGTAATTATGGTATCTACAACTAACAGAGATTTGACATTCATTGGGAATAAACAGAGGTAAAACGTGCAGAATCCAGGATGAATGTACAGAAGAAGCTTTTCAGCAAAGTGCTGCTAGAAAATTGCTGATACCGTGCTAGCTACCACCACCTCTCATGCACTCTTTTCACAGGACGCTGCACAGTGAAAACGAGTACTGGTTATAGGCATAGCTTCCATTTCCTTTGCCCGGTGATAGTTCGATAGCTAATAGTTAACATAAGTTAATAACGAATTGCACGACCAACGAAGGGGTCTCAGTATTGTGTCTCTGCATCCTGATTTTTAACAACAATTTCTAAATGACTTTTTTGACTTCCTACTCTAGAGGGTGAATCCTATGAAACTATTATATTAACTAAGCCTTTCGGGAGGATATAATGAGAACGTGATGTAATAAAAAAACCCACTATTTCCACACTCACGTAATCCTCAGAGGGAAAAAGAGATATCCTGTAAAGGTTGGCACTTATGCGTAATCAATATCTTGTAATCAATGCAGAAAAAGAAACAAAGACATTTGTTTTTATAAAATGGCAGTCTAATTTTGAGATTGTAGACATGCAAGAAGAAAATACACTACAGGCACCTTACCTGATATGCGGCAATGATCAGCTGGAGAATATTTCCAGAATCTTTCTGTAGTCGTCCAACAGTAGCTCCAGGAATAAGCTTTGCATAGTTCTGGAAACATCAATTAAAAAAAGCTTAAAAAACCCACCTAGGTGACAAGGACCAAGCCGCTGGAAAAGAAAAAAATATATTGTAGACAACTAAAATAAATACTAGTAACACTTTCAAGGACCCTCATATGCCTCAATAACATGTATCCTATTTAGGGAGTCCTATGGCGAAGAGCTAGTTTCACTGAAAGGGACATACATTGCTAAATCACCTGTGTGTGCTTCAAAGTTTGATACTGTAGTATTTTCCAGCTATGTTTTTTTAATTTTAGAATGAAGATATATTCTTCATTCAACAGTTATGTTGCCCATATATATTCTTCAGTCAACAGTTACGTTTTTCTTTAATAAAAATAATCCAAACCAGATTTGGCGGCTTTACTGCTGCTGTAGTATTTGAGTCTGGGGTCCTACATTCAATTGCAGTCTCTTTATTTTTGCAAGCAAATCAGCATCTTAAGTTCATGTCAGTGAGGGCACAGAAGTTAAGAAGTTTAAACTAAGGGCTACAAGTACTTAGAACAAAGGTCCATACAAAAATGCTGCTGTTTTATGATCAGTTTAATTGATTCGCAGATTATGACCTTGATGAAGGAGAACGCACTCTGCATCTTGGAGCACTGACTGCCTGGCATTTTAAAAAAATATTCTGAATGTTGCGCACTAAAAAATACAAAATACACCATTTAAAATGGCAGCCCAGACAGAAAAAGCTAGGTAGGTTTGGTGTTATAAAGAATATAGTTCAGTTAACTGAACTATGATTTGTATCCAGTGGCTTTCTTCTTTTTTTTTAAAAAAAAGCACTCTAGTCAAGCAGAGATCTTTTGCTGTAGATTCCTAGGTACGACTGGCATTCATTCTTTATTCATCAGAGAAACTATGTTTTAGAAATTAGAATCAATTTTCCTCCGCATAGCTCTAATTAATACATTTTGGAACCCTTGATCACTTTCCTAACTCTTCCTTTGTCAAAAAAAAAGGATATAATGCATTAACACAAGAAGTAGTAACTGAGATTTGATTTTGTTGTTTCAGCTCTCAGCTGAATTAATTTATCCCAGACATTGGATCCGAAGGGCCTTTGTTGCACTGAAGAACCTTCAACTATAAAACTTCAGTTTTGCCTGTATATATTTATAGCTTGTGATTAAGATACCTCCTCCTTTTAATAATGATTTTCCAACTTATTTCTCAGTATGGTTACTAGACTGGATGAAAATATTTTAAAAGCAGGCAAATCAACGTCAAGTAGATATATTTCACCTCTCATTCTATAACTCGTCCATGAAAATTCCAAATACTAATGCAACATTGTGTTACAATCAAAATAAAAGAATTTTACAGAAAACTATTTTTATCAGCTAAAACTAGGAATATTTAGGTCAACAATAGTAGTAGTCAATCACAAGTGTAGTGGGATTCTATAGCCATAGCATAAATTAGTTAAAATCTGTGGCATTAAAAAGCTTTCATTAAATCTAAATATTGCTTAACATTTTCTTAAAAGGGGACTAATTAATGGCATGTGTATTCTTTTCATTAACTTTAGTAGGTGCTTTAATAGTTGCTGCACAAAGTAGCTTGGAAGCTTCTCACTGATTTACAGAGCCTTTTTTTTTTATTCAAAGAAACTTTCCTCTTACTTGCATTATATTTTGCCTTGGAAATTGTTGGTGGTCACCCTCAGAGTTGGCCAACAATGTTCTTATCAGAGGTTTTCTGTTTCAGTATCTCTGTGTCAGTGTTATACCAGTACCAAAGTTATCAAGTGGCACCCTTTGTTCACTGGAAACACTAAACGAAGATTTATAACCAAAAAAAAGGCAAGCCATTGTAAATCCAACTGTAGAATTTTTGTTCTTGTTACTTTCTTTGTCAGAAAAATAAAGCGTGACTATCTTTTATCTTGTAGGGTATACAGAAATCCCACTGAATATATTCTATCTACTGCTTTCATCTTTTCAATACTGCTTTCTGTCACTTATTCAGATATCTATAGTCATTATGCCCTGCTTACTATCCTGTACGTGATGTGGAAAATCAGTGAAAGCAAATGCAAAAACTGTATAAGCCTTACTGTGCTGTCTTTCTAAAACATAGTATACTTTCAAGGGTATATATAGGACCTGAAAACTGAACTCTAGTGTCACATTTTCATCTGAATTATTCAGATTTTTAATACAAATGTAAATATTCAATTCTCCAAGCTTAAGAATGTAAAAATAAAAAGCTAGACAATTAGATTACTTTTGTGTTAAGGCTATGAGTTTTAAACAGAACTAGCCAAACCTCTTATTACCATCATTGAATTCTTATCTAGAGTTTCTTTTTGCATGTGAAGATTTCTTCCCAATAGGACTGGACAAAAACATAAATACAAATTGCCGATATCCTTCTTATTATATCTGAGGGGCCTTTAGCTCATATTCTCTTCAAAAATAGTTAAGCAAAAGAGAGAAAGGTGTGTATCCAAGCTCTTGACAAAAACCTCACCTTTTCAACTGTATCCTTATAGCCATTGGTGACTTTTTGTCTCAGCTCAGAGCTGGAACATCCAAAGGTCCACAGGACCAAAAGTAGCATGAGGCTTCAGGAGGGCTTATTTCTATGGAAGTTATAATCAGGTGCACTGCACAGATGACTATACTTCTGGTGCACTCTAGGACTTGTGAAACTAACGCTGGAGTTATTCTTAGGTACTCCACTTCTCTATCTTTTATAGGGCCACGGGTACCATTTTCAGAAATTTCAAAAGCGTCTTAGAAGTCCAGATATTGTTCAGTTTCTGCGGAAATTACGACTTCTAAACAAAGTCATATGCTTTTTTAAAATGTTACAAGGTGACAGGAAGAGATACCTCTTACAGAGCAGAGGATACCCAGTTATTCTTCCTTTCTCATATCTTTACTGCAAGAGAAAAACAAATAGGTTTTAACTCTGCTTATTTTGACTCCTCGATTTTAAACATGGGCTTTGATTACTGTCCATTCCGACCCCTTACCCAATGTATCTTTGAAATAGATTCTTTAGAATTATGAATTCGTTATTTCTGGGCCCTACAAAGGGAAGAAAGGCTCCAAATTGCACAGCACTAGTCCAGGTAGTTTAGTGACAAGTTGTGACATCTAGGAAAATGGGCATGTGTTACTAGACAAACGTTAAAGCTAGTTTAGCTTAGTCGACGGACAGGACTCTCCAGACAATCTGTGAACAGATGCAGAAGATTTGCAGAACGCTTCTTATGTCCTCCTCCTTTTGGTATCAGTTCTGTATTTATCTCAGCTGCAAGAGGGACTATGTATGGATAGAGCTGCAGCTATGAGTGATATTCAATTTATTAGAACTATGCATTTTGCATATTCATAACTACTGCTCCTCCACTCTCCTCTCTCTTCCTGCTCCCATTTCCCATGATACAACTTTATAGAACAGGAAAGTCTGTGAGACTTAATGTCAACCATTCCTGCCACAAAGTGTTTTCTTGTCCTTCAGGGAAAATGAGGAGTGATACATGCAGCGAGAGGACTTTGCCCATCACCTTTTGTGTTTTTAATCCTGCTGCTAGTTTCCTATTTGTCTCGTCGGAAGGAGACAAAGAAACAAAGAAAAATGAATAAAACTCCCAGCTTAACTGAAGAAAACCCTTATCTCAGAGTTGAGCATGAAGACCTGTTTTTTTTTCAGAAGGTGTTATTAGCTTATAGAAGTAAAAAAGGCTCGACTGTCCTCACCTAGCCTCATAAAATATAAAAGGCTAATCACATGATTACACTGAATAGTTCAGAAATGTTTAGTTTGATAGTCCTTATCTATTGACTTTAAAATTATAGTGTGATTCAACTTGAAATCCAATTTAAAAGTTACGTAAGAACATCAAAATCAATACAAGAAGTACTTCCTAAGTAAAAGAGCCTTTCTCTAACTCTGATAGATAATTTACTAACTATTTTTATTACATATATACCTTGCAGGATTGGATCCTTAATACTAGAATTACTGTCGCAGCTGTGAAAAAGGGTGAACATTAGAGCAAACACTGAAGAATCAAATATTTTAATTTGCTCACCTCATATATGTGAATTTGCTCCTTTGTTACAGCAAAAATTAATAAAACATTGTTTTGCACAAGTTTGTCAATTAATTGTCCAATTGTGGGATACTCCTGAAAACAAACAGAAGAGAGCCACATCAATCCATTTTTTATAGGCATACGGTTCCTAACTCTCTACCACGAAGCACACGTTTGAATTGTTATAATTAATACTGTTTTCTAAGCATAGTATAAACATATAATTAGGTACTACGTATATACGGAAAAAAAGATAGCCTGTATAATTTCCTCTCCTTTTTAAGGAAACCCTTTGAAACAAATATAGTGTCTACCTTCACACTGGGACACTTAGCTCAGCAGAATGCAGTCCGAAGAATAGTACTGTACCAGAGCAACTGAGTATTGTACTGGTCTTTTATACACTTGAATCTTAAGCTGATAAGTTTTTCTACACGAACAGTGTCCTACAAATTCCTGAACTCCTCCTAAGTTCACACCCTATAATCATGCTGTACATGATTAATGCATATTTTGCTTTCCCTTCAGAAGAAAATACTAGTCAGTCCCGTTCCATGTGTTTTCCAGGTTAGCAGGAGTAAGATCCATGCATTTTTTTCTAATTATAATCTATCATAGTTTCTCGGATACACACTGCTCTATTTTGATTAAAACTACAACTAGGAATAAAACAGATGGCATCAAACACCTAGATCCCCAACTTTTGCACATATCAGTGATGAAGATATGCTTTCATGAGTTTTCTGATTTGCTCACGCTACTCTTTATATTTGCCCAATGCTAGAGTTGTACAAGACACACAGCAAGTTACCAGAACAGTTGACATGGAATATTCGTTATTGTGGTCCAAATGACAGTTCCCATCATTAGGAATAACAATCCCTGCCAGTTTACTGTCCATCCCAAAATGGGAATCTGCATCACTCACAAACACCAGTAAATGTAAAGAATCATTCCTCCATCCAATTCTTTCCTGTAATTTAAAATATATTAGTTCAGCAAGCTGTACTATACTCACGGTAGAGAAAAGCAGCAAATGATCTGGAGAAAGATATCTTAAAGCAAATGAATAGAATCATTTTAAAGTGACTATCAAAAACACCAAAGCATCTCTTTTAAGAGACGGTGTCATTCCATTTTCTTTCTCTAACATTTTTGTCTTCCCAGCTTTGTGTTTAGTAAAATGTGATGGCTGGGTCCATGACAGTCAGCTTACTCCTCTAAATATGGTTAATCAAAAATATTTAAAGAAAAAACAATCAAGAAAGCAAACCCATTCATTACACAGTTTATATTTTTCACCCCTGGAAATTAAAGAGAAAGACTATAATCTGCAACATGTATGCTTAACTTGATACAAATCAAAAGTAGCAATAAAATATAACTGACTGTGTCTTACAGTCTGACCTCTCTTCCACTGATGCTGTCAGGGTCCATTGCACTGACTTCACACAAATCTGATTAGGTTTTTGGACTGCATTACAAATCTTGAAAAATAGTGATCTGCTTCTTTGAAGTACAACCATACAATACTAGAAGAGTTAAAATACAGAATAATTAATATCATACCTAGAAGTTTCAATTACCTTGCAAACAGCTGCCTGCATAATCGCATCAAATCCTCCCTCTGGAGTGTCTATATTAGCAGAGATTCTCTGTCCTTTCACAATTTCATTGAATCTTTCTGCATCATTTGTCAGTGGCAAAATATGTTTGTATCCAAAGGTAGGTAAGCACTCATATGGAACACTTCTACAAAACAAGTGAGATGGCTTATGGATAATGCAGGAATAAAATCACTGCAATGGCTACCTTGCCACTGCAATCTATCTGTCCTGATTAGATTTTAGTTACATATCTCTCTTCTGTTTCTGAGATAGATCTAGTGAAATACATAAAAAGAATAGATATAGCTATAGATATAACTATAGTGCATAGATATTTTCATTTAGCTGGATTAAGTAAATAGGTCTGCAAAAAACATGGAAAATGCCTCCAGAGTAATTCTATCAAGATATGTCTGCAGAGGTGCAGTCCTCGCAGTGCTCCCTGCTACATCCTGTTTTCATACTCAGGAGCACATTTGGATCTCTAGTTCCTTGGTTTCATTTAGATAGCACCATTAGCCTTCTCCTTTCTTGCTAAGAGCTACAGAGAAGGGAATTTCGGAGAGCACTCCTTTTCTTCCATTTAGATTAGGAGAGGACTAGGGCAACGTAGATTGGTTTTGCTAGGTACTGCTAGGTTTTAAGGAAAAACAGAGGAAAACAACATTAACGGGGAAATGAAATCAGTATTCCTTGCTTGCTTTGCATTTCCATCAATTTAGTATGGCAATAGCATAAGCATTCTTATATATATCTATATGTTTAACCAAATTAAAGGAACGCATAATTATTCTGAATACCAGTATGTTAATCCATTAAGCACACTTGAACTAGCAGCAAAAGCTAAAAAGCAGAATCATTCCTAGATTCTGTTCTTCAAATAACACAACACAGAATAATAATTAGAGTGTGAACCTAAAGAAATTCCTTACTGATTCAGTTACAGCTGGAACAGGGCAGAGGTTCCAGTGAAGGCATTGAGTTGAATTTTGTCCTAAAGATTAGTAGTACGACTCAATGGTGGCATGCATGTAGATGTAGGTACTTTCCCTGCATACCTGCAAGGGTTGTTTATTTCTTCAGCTGTGGTTTTGATAAATGGTGAAACTGGTTTTTCAACAAAAGATCCAAAACCCAGTCTAAAGTTGCTTGTCAGTTTTGACATTTCTTTGGAAAGAGTTGAACCTAATTCTTTTATTGTATTCAGATCATCATCCATTGAAGCTGAAAGATCCATTAGGTAATAGAGATCAATTGGATAATCTTCAGTTTGGCGAACTTTGATCTGTATTGTTTCTTCATGTCCTGTTAAAGTTATAGGAATATAGGATACATATTATCACTCCTAACTAGATCATGTTATGAGCAATGCTTATGAGCAAATTGTTCATAAAATTATATATATGGTGAAAATGATATAGTAATTTTAAATCTCCAGTACAATTAACATAACAACTCTAAAAATTCTCTGTTAACAAAATTTCCAAACAGGACATCTGAAAAACCAAAAGGAGTTCTTATGTATTTTCTAAACTGTTCTTCTGTAAAGCAGTAACCTTAGAATTTGGAAACAACTCTGACTGCTGTAACTTAAAAATATAAGAACATCCCTTTGGCTATGTATAGCTTTACAAAATTTAGGTATGAAACCAGCCGAAGCTAAAGGTAGCACTTACAGGACATACTGTGCACTTTAGAAATCTGAACAAAAGCAGATTGTACACACAGGTTTTATTCTCAGTGCCAGCACCATGATGTGACCTAACAGGGTGTTTCTTAAGTTTCTTTATTCCAAATTTTCCCCAGGACAAATTCATATCTCAGGAACCCTAAAGTAGGTCTGGAGTGCTTCCGCAAGTGTCACTGGTACTTTGTAAATCCTCAGAGCAAGATTTTATACTGCATCTGGGCTATGCTGTTCATCAGACCTTCACAGGGAAAGGCAGAGAAGCAGGACAGGGGAGGTATGTGGGACTTCCGTTTTCTCATTGCTGTCTTAAGGGCAAGAGAAGAGAAGAACTAGAAAATAAATCCTTACCCTTATGAAGAACGCAGCACTTCCAGCAGTATTTTGAACTGAACTTAACTTAGCTTTCATCTGGTTAGCCAAACAGTAATTAACTTTGGACTCAACCCAGGTATTTTATTTTTATCCTATAAAGATTTTTTTCCAACTCTTCAGTCTGCGCAGCTTAGGTATATCACATCAGCAAAACAAAAAAATCCTGCATTTGCATTGAGTGACTTACCCGGTCGCAGCCAAAGAGTTAATTTTTGAGGAGAAATCTGTGTGACATCAGAATTGTTCTTCTGTATTCCGATACTAAGGGGCTTGTTTTTGTGAATTTCTACTTTGGAAATGGGAAATGCAATCAAATTCAACTGGCATCCTTTTGATAAAAGATTTTCTGGGGTATCACACCTTCCATGAATTCCAGCTGAGTCTGTATAATTCTAAAATAAACAAGAAAAAGAACGGATGAGTTAAACGTACTCACTGACCAGTCACCAGCAACTCATTAATGCAAGGTCAGTGCAATGCAGAGGAAACAGAAACAAAGGAGGAAGTTATATAGTGAGGGCAAAACTGTGTGGAAACAGATCTAGGTGGCACAGAAATCTAAATTTGCCCTCCATGGATCATGTCACACAGGTGTATAATTAATGTAACCTAAACCTATTTGGTATTCTGGGAGAAACTCTTCTATTGTTGGGGAATGGGAATCGTGCCACTTACATTTGGCTCCTTGCAGTACTGGGAATGTCAACACAAAGCACATATGAGCCTCTTTTCCCAAGGAAATCACTTACAGGATTATGTTGCAAATTTGTCAGTCTTTCCTTAATAACTGTGAACTGCTGACAGTCCAATGTCATTTAATAACATAAGAGGTCCCACAGACAACATACTCCTACAAGTTTTGTGAGAAATTGGAGGTGGGGTATGTTGTGTTCACAGGACGATTTGCTTTTTTCTGACCTATTCTTTCTCCCCAACACTCATTTTATACGTTCGCTAAAGCCGGCAGGTAGGTCCCTATTACTCTGCCTGATGTTTAACAAGCTCTGCAGCTTCCATCTCTCTTTGGAGCAGACGAGGCTCCCAGTACACTCACGTTTATCCAATTACATTTAGCCCAGCGTCCTACTTGACCTTCTCCCATACAGACGAAATCACAAGCCTATTGATATCAGTCGGATATCTTGCAGTTTATTTTTGTTACTCATTTCAAAGCACTTGATATGCATTCCTTTCCACAACACTGCTTTAAAGTAGGTATTATCTCTGCATAACAATGAAGTTAGTGGTTAGATTTACAAAGAGGCTACTACGTTTTATTACCGTTTCCTATAGTTATATCTAAAGTTTAGATCCTCAAAATCTCCAACCAGCTGCCTTTTAAAAAAGAAAACTCCTAAATTTCTTAGGTTTACCTCAAAGTTTGGCTGGTGTCATGAGTCCTGCCAGTATGTGTGTGTATACCTCCCACTAAGCTGCCATGAAAGTGCCTGAAGCTTAATTCCTGGTGGGATTCTCAAATGGAGCCTTCTCCATCTTTATGGTTATCAGAACCTAAGCCAGTTTTAAGATTACCAGTTTTGTGATTAAAACACTGCGCTGGTAGGCAACAGACAAATTCAAACCCTCACTATACTTTATGTGAAGGGCTCTGAATCCAAATTTCCCATCTGTCATGAGCATACTGTAGCCACTTCTAGTCGGGTACCCTGCTCTGGATCTCTCTCAAGTCTACCCTGTTGCAGTTGTATTGTGTATAAAACAAACATCCATTGAGCTAGATCACTGGTTTTCAATCTTTCTTAATTTTCCAGACCCCTACAACAGTTAGAATCTGGAGCCAAATTTACACACAACGTCAACACATTTGTTTTCCTAAGTTATCTTTCCTTCAGAAGTAGACTACAAATTTCTAGGCCACAAACTGGGGGGAAAAAACATAGCACAAACAGCTCAGAGCTTTTCTTTAGCACAAACAAAGCTGAGTTTTGCTGCTCCAGTGATGAAGGACTGTGCTGAACTCCCTCTCTAATGGGAAGCGTAGGAGCAGTAAGGGAAGACAAGGAGTTGGTGTGAAATTGCCTGGAGGGAGTTGTGGTCAACCAGATTTGCTGCTGCCTTGGCTAGCGGGACAATGCGTGGACAAAGAGGTATATGCAGTTTCAGTCCCTGATTCCATACATATATTTACATTTTATCTCCTCCTCTGGTTTTTGTTTCTCCTGTGAGAAAGGAAAGATCTATGTAAGATAGGAGATGATTCATAGTTACAAATCCTCACTACATTGTCACTGGGCTAGGTCTCGTTCCTTTCCTCTCTTTTTTACAGTTAGCTCAAACGCCATATTCTCTCGCCAAGAGACTGGTCTCAGTGAATTCATTTCATAGGCAATCAAGTTCTCCTACACATTGCATGGGGAGTCTGGGTGTTCAGCTGAGACAGAATTCCCCTGGGCAGCAGGATGTCTGACAGCCAAGCAAGGCAAGGATAAATCCACTCTGTGAATCTAGCCTGCTAGGCCTTTTGACCAAAACCTGCTGGGAATCGTCTGTCAGAATCAGCACTGAAACGTTCAATTCCTGGTTCATGGTCATGGGCCCACAGCGCAGGGCCGTTTCTTTCTCCTAGGCTTCGACAAAGCACTTTGGATTCAGGCATTAAGCCACAAATGTTCTCCACATTCAGTCACTGAGAAATTTTCTATGCAAATAACAAAAAAATTACTTTAAATCTATTAAGAAAAGGATTTAGCCCCTCATTTCCCACTGAAATTTCAGCCCTCATGGCTGAAAGTTTTCAGGGATCCTATACATTTCAATGTAAGCAGTCTTGAGACACCAGACAGGAATAATGGTTTATTGTGCTTCAGACTGAATCTGATGTCTTTTCTCAGACAAAACTCTCAGCAACTGCTTCTTGAATACAGTGCAAATAAAAATTATGTACCACTCTAAAAATTTCACAGGGGAAACAGTATCATCTCCTGTAGTTACACACTTTGAATTGCTGGCTTTTCAAAGCACGTATGGAGAGGCAAACTCGTATTTCAAAGATAGTTATAAAGTGCATGTTTTTGTCCCATAGAGAAAATTGTTTATTTGGAGACACCTTAATGTTTATTCTGACACTAAAGCTCCCAGGTCTTCTGCCTTCTATGGGTGTTCTTTGTCAAATAAGTTATTTCAGAGAACTTCATGTAATTTGAAATAAATGTTTACTATATGCCTTGCTGATCACTATTCTGAAACATGCTAGCTAGTTCTATCATCTGCCAGTGACTAGATATTGGACGCAACAGATTCACAAAATCATTTCCATTTGTCTATATAAGATATAAAAGTCAAGTTCTCCAAAAGACAAATGTAGCCTCCTCCAGTTGATATTCAGAAATTATAACAACTAACAAGTTCCTCAGAAACACTGACTAACAGTTCATATTGCATTTTAAAAAGATGGCCCTAAGCCTTATTGGTCCAAGGTTATTTTATTTCTCTGCTATTTCTGGCAAATTTTTAATTGTGATAGCCAACTCTTTTGCAAACATTAATGAATTAAGATATAGAATATTTGCTATGAAGTGGGGAGATTTCGTTTTTCAGCTTTTACAGATGAAAGTTTTAAAAGTTTTAAAAGAAGAGATGTTAAGTGACGTGCCCAAGGTTACACAGAAAGTCTGTAACAGACGTGTAGGAAACAAATCCAGATATTTATTTCAAAGCCCTGTGTCTTAGCCAAAATATTTGCATCCTATAGCATACATCATCATATCTAAAATCAGGCACAGATTTACTATTTGCATATGCAAACTGACCACAACACTTTCTGTTTACCCTGTGTGGTATGGCATATAAAATACATAAATTCCAGTCTGACAGGTAACTCCACGTCTGGTACTTTATCATTAGCACTGCGGGTGAGTCAGCCCTCAGAATGATGACCTGAGCTTTTCTAATAGCACTTTTATTTCTGCCTAAATTGAAGACTTTTTTTTTTTTAAAGAAAAAAGAACAAGGAACAATAGATCATAACGTATAGATTTGAATTCCACTTCAGATTCCCAGAGAGACTGCCCTAAGCACTACATGCATTACAAAACCTTGGACTGACCCAATTAAGTCAGTATTTCATCACTCAGAGCTACTACAAACACTTCAAGTCTTACTTTGAAAGTTTTTGTATCATTTACTCTACCTCTTGAAAACACCAAGCACAGTGTGGTCCAGAGAGCAAACAGTCTTCGCAAGTCACTGCATTTTCCTGAGAACAATTCCCTACATTTAAATTCAAGAAGATAAAAGACAATTCATAATGTGTTTAATCATTCAATTTATGAAGAATCTTGTTGTTTAGAGGCTGTAGGAGATGAAAAAGACGCACATTTAGCCACATTTAGAATTAATGATAAAATTCCTTCATAAGGATATTTCTACTGGTAGAATGCTAATTCTCTGGGGGAAAAAACCCACAATTGCTGACAATTAACCTACTCACTTTTGTATGCTTTATGGATGTCCATTCACTGGTGCCCATACGCTACTTGTTTTCTCCAGTGCCTTTGATAAAATGCTACATTTACTTCTTGTATGGTACGTGTAACACATTGCTAACATAACCAGAGACATTAAAAACACAGATTCATGTTCACTCTACATGCTTAAAACTGCTTCACTCGAATCTGTAGATACTTGATATGATTTTAATTTATTATGCAAGTACCAGTGAAACACTGAGTCACATGAATAGTATTAAATTTCTCAGTGGATCAAACATCAATTAGTATAACTAAGATAGCTCAGACGCCTGTCTCTTTCATACATGTGCTATGTAATGACCACACAAATCTCAGATGAATTCACAGGATAGCCCTACAGCAGTCTGTTAAGAAAATAAAAAATTCATTAACCAGAAAGGAACGACTGGTATGAAACACAGAAAAGCTACTCAGTACCAACTTAAAACAAGAAACACTGTAAAAATAGTTTTGAAATGGAAATGACTGCTCCTGTACCTTACCTTGCACATTGTTATTTCTCTGCAGAAATAGGAAAAAGAGGCAAAGCAATGCAATCCCCATTCGTTTTCAGTGCTGGCTGCGTGACAAAAAATATTAGCATGTTAATTATCGTCCACGTAAAGGTAGAATGTCATAAAAATCATACATTCCCAAAGTGTACGTTTTAAGATGTCACCTACACTGGACTGGGAAGAAACTTCAGTGCTATCAGGACAAAACATGGATAAAAATGAAAACAAAGGCTACCTGGACAGGTAAAGACAACAAGCTGTGCATAAAAGTAACCTGAACATGGTTATCACTTCCTTGTTTTCCTGTACTCCTTATAAGGTATACAATCAGAAGAAAGGGGAAAATTCATTCAGGTGAAGATTTCTGTCAATTCCAGTCTCTCTGGGTCCTAGAGAAACCTATCCATGAGGGCATTGCTGAGTATACAGCAACTCTGAAATGCTCTTCTAAAATAACTCCTTTAATTGTTCCCTGAGAGAGTTCATTAGGCAAACAGGTCATACAATTGCTAAGTGATTATACCTGGAGAGATGTAAAAATCCCATTTTTTCAGATTTCCTCATGTGGAGAGAACCTTGTAAAGGCAGCTGGGGAAAAAACAAAAAGCAATCACTAATTGTAACTGAGGCTTCAGTAATTCAAGATACAAGAGAACATTTTTTTTTACTAACATTGCAAATTGAAAAGGAAATGTATCACTGTGCAGTGCTCAATAGACAGAGGAAGGAACAATTCCCAATTCTACAAATGACCCAGAAAAATCAGTTAAAGTTTGATTCTTGCCTAGCAAGTGGCCCAATATTCTGCATCACAAAGAAGTTACTGCTATAAATCTCTTTTTTCCCTCCACAGGATGAAGGCAAAACATGCATTTCTTACAGCTTTATTAAAAGAAACAAAAACTCTTATTGGAAGATTTCGTGTCTTCCCATTTTTTATGTTTTTGTCTTTTTTTAAGAAAAATCACTCAGGACAAGTCCTCTCTTATCATACACAGGTGTTTGCAGGCAACTCTAAACACTACAGTACAAAAGTAATATTTCAACAGTTGTTTTGCTGGCCTTTCCTGAAAATATATATCCTGTTTTTCTTCAGCCAGAAATCCTACCAAAGCTAGAAATTTATCTCATAAGAACTAAGTTGCTCTAATCATGAGAACTGGCAGGATAAGACCTTCCCTTTTAAAAGTGGTAGTAGCTGCAATCTTGGGGCAGGCTGTTACAGTAGGGATAGGTTCATACTAGTAAACTCAACATGCCTGGAAACATTCCTGGCCTTTGAGGCCAACTGGCACAGAAAGACCTCAGTTTATGCTTGCAATTTGCCTGCGGGGACCATCCTAACCACCAAATTGTGCCCAGAAATTGTTTGCGGAAAGGGTTAATTGGAAAAGGTCAAATTCATGCCAGGGAGCATTTTAACAGTTTAATAGCATAGATAATCTCATGCTAAGTGCCTGGAAATATTCCCGTGCACATCTGATTTTACTAGTATTTACACAGTCTATGGTAGTTTCATAGCTGCTCAAGTTGAATTACGTCAAGCCTACCTTTGTCCTGCCCTTGCGTTCACACCCCTTCTCCTTTATCTGGTGTCCAAACAAACAGTGAGCTGTTTCAGACTGACCCAACTGGAAACTAATCACCTTCCATGGGGAAGGCTGGGGAGCTAGTTTTTACCCGGATCTGCTCCTTGAACTGTCTCACTGTCCAGCCAAGCATGAGTGCAGGACAGAAAAACTGGAGTTGGCAGGAAAGGTGGGAATATGTTAGACTGAATTTAGCTCAGCTTAAACTGTTGTGGAACCATCTCTTAACATTTCTATTTACAACAACACTCCTAAGTCTCTTTCAACTGCTTCCTATACCTCTGAGTGTCATTTGTAAGACGCTTGTTCAGCTACAACAACTTCTTGTGGCATGAAAAAAGTATTGATTAGATTATGTCCCCTTAGCTGGTAAAGAGGCAATTTTATCAGGACAATGTCTGCCATTACATAAGGTCACAAAAAAGTGTAGTCAACTGAAAACGTTTGCTTGCACTAAGAAAAAAATCATTTTGTAAGTGTCATCCAACATATTTTATTTCCCTATTTTTAATTTACATTTGAGTACATGCCCTTTAACGTAATGCTATGTCTACAGTCTCGCAGAGCTCCCCAGAATCTGTGCATGAAGAGCACGCTTACAGAACAGGGATTTCCCTTCCAGTGCAGAAGATGACTTTGCACCTCTTACTAGCCTCGGGTAACATAACAACACCTCTAAGCGTTCTGTGCTCAAAGGATATGATGGCAATCCTTCAGCCACCAAAAACTACTAGATTAAGGACCAGTCAGGTGAACTGCTGGCTATTGGCAAATGCTTATTTTTACTCAATATATCCAACTTTAGCAAACTTCTTAGTGTAGAGAGAAAGGATAATACAATCTACATAAAAATTACAAATTCTGTTTGATATTATCAGTTCTCCATTTGCTTGTGTAGTATGCTTCATATAACTCTTGGCAAGGACAGCATGACTGGAGGCTATGTGCCTGCCTCTGAATGGGAGGGCTGCCAAAGACTATCTGAATAAGCCTAGCCTGAATAAAATAACTAAGTTTCTGCAATCTAATCAGAACAGACCTCTCCAGATTGTCTGTAAAGCAGAGAAGGAAACAGAACAAAAAGTGAACAGAAGAAAAATTAGGAGAAAAGATTCAAGGTTAGTTTTGACTTTTAAAAGCTCACAGAATGAGAAGGTCAAAACCCCCAGGAATGGACAGAAAGGGAATGAAAAACTCACCTCACCGATAGGGCCACAGTAGGATAAAAGAGGTCCAGGAAGAGAGACAACAAATAACAAGAGTGGAACTCAGGCAAGGCAGGAAAACCCAGGTAGGTAGCTATTAGATGCTTCTCATTTCAAAATAGCTGTACACATCTTATGTGACATCTAAAAAGAGCTGACTTGGAAGCTCCCCTACAAATTTTTTTTTTTTTTAATTTGCTTTAACTATCATATATGCTAGAGGAGAAGAACTGTAATCCAGAGTAGCCACACTGATGTGGGGAGGGTGTTTGGAGGCTATGGAGAACGCCTGAGGTGTTGGAATTGCTTGGTTTGACAGCAAGGTTTCTCTTCTTTAAGAAGGTTTATAAGACAGAGTCAATGCTAACAATGACACCTTTTGGAGCAAAGAGACCACATTTGGAGCCTGCTCATATGGAATGCAAGGGCCTAAAGATAGGCTGACTAATATCCAACGAGAGGATAGCAAGCAAGTTTCTGATGAACAATTAGTTTGGGGAACAGGCTTGAGAAGAAGGGAAATAGTCTTGATTCTTTCTTTCTAGTATACCTACAGAGCAAGCATTACAAATTAAAAAAAAAAAAATGCCAGAAGTGTTAATCCAACTTTCTCATCATTATACCTTTTTCCCCCTTATTTCCACTGATCCTTCTCAGTAAGTCTGTTCTGCTACTTCACTTGCAAGAACACATAAGTTTCCATTCTTCCAGACTATTTCTAAAGTTAAGTCCAGTACCACAGTCCTCTCCTTGACTCCATTCTTCATTTCTTATTTTATTCACCCAAATTAGAGGCATCAATCCAACGAGATAAAACAGCAAAGTACTTCATAGTACACACAGAACACAATTAACAGTCAGTACATATTCATTTTGGAGCAAATTCTGGCCTCACTTAAATCAGGGTTACTGATGTAATCAGAAACCCTGAATACAGAGGTACAAAGAAAAGAAAGTTAATGTTGGCAACAGAAGAAGAAATAAAACAAAAACATTAGCCTGATGGTGCTTTTCATTAATAATATTTTTTCCTCTAGAGCAAACATGCAGCTTTCTTGACAAACAAGACCTTGATTCACACATCAAGCTGCAGCCAAAAAATAGGGCAGTGTTCTGATGTGTAAAGGTTCCAAATCAGAAAGTGTTTACACACAAAAGCATGCCTAATAATTGATTTAGTCAAATCAAAAAATTACTTCATTTAAAAAACTATCAGCCTCTCCTGCAAATAGGGTATGAACTGATGTAGTATAATTACACATATAGGCAATCCAACCCAAGAGAAAACAACAATTAGTTCCTTCTGAACTAGACAAAATTTGGAAGAGGAGGCATGTTAGCTCCAGTGAAGGTTTATCAGTCAAAGATCAGTATGTGCCAAGTCGCTCTAAGCAAAGGAAATCTCTTTTACCTAGAAGCTGAAGAGCTATATATATGGAAGAGAAATTCTTGTAACTGATCTCTCAGCCTCACACAGAGCCCAGCTCTTAATTCTTGTCTGTGCTCAGTTCATACGCACCCTCATCCTGAAAGCCGGGCAAAACACTGAGCCATTCAAAGACTGGCAGTCCTGTAGGTTCAGATAGTCCTTGGAACATTTATGAAGGTAGAAGAGCACCTCTTGGATGCCAGAAAACATTTCTCTTTCTCTTCACGAGAGAATTTTGTGGAACTGGAAACAGTGAGGTGGGTTTTCCCTGCCCTCCGTCGTGAATAACGATGTACACCAGCTCAATGCCTCTGTAAGAAGGCCTATCAGAATGGCAAAGGTGTACACTCATTAGATCAGAGGGATGTTGCTTTGTATTTCAATTATCTGGCAACTTCTTTCTCTTCCTGCTTTGCTTCCAAATCACATCTGTCTAGAAAGCTCCTGACAATCCCCAGCGGGGAATGGAAGTGGCCTTTAAAAGTTTAGGTCAAGCTTTTTTACCTAAAAGTTGGCCAATGAAGAACACTGAGAAGTCTACAGAGGAGGTGCCATCAAGAAAAAATATTCTTCTTCCAAATAGGATATATGTTTTGTAGCTGCACAGTCAAGAGATTCCCAGCAGAGATTGAAGTTATTTTCTTTGCAAAATGCCTACGCAGAAATATATGCCTTGCCAGCATGACAAACCTAATTCTAAAGAAGAGTTATAACAGATGTTTCAAAGGACGTGTGTCATTTAGCTAAGCAGGGATCCTGGAGGGGGAAGAAAAAAAAAAAGGTTTCCAAACCTGAAGCTTACATTAAGCTCCAACAAACTATGATTTAAGTAGCCACACAGCAATGTGAATGTCCTGTTAATAGGACAATCCAGCTCTGTCAGAAACTGCACACAAACACAGAAATAATATTGGAAAGACTGTCCTGTCCCTTCCTTTGCTGCAGCATAAATCCTGGCAATACTTAAGGGAGAGCTGGCAATAACATTTAAAAAGGAAGCAACAACCCTTAACCAGCAATCGTATTTCATGGGGAGAGTCACAACAATGCTGAGTGTAACCAACTAGTAATTTTGTTTTTTTTTTTCCTGCATGTGACAGTTTTTCTAGTTATAAAACAATAGCATCACCTAAAAAAACACTTTGCAAAACAAACGAGTTCAGATTCATACATTTTAATGTCTGTTGATAGTATTTGCTATCCCCTTCTTTTGCTAATCAGCACAGTGAGTGGTGGGTATTGCTCCACCAGAAAATGGCCTCAGCCCAAAGAAACCACCGTAAGCACGCAGGGCCTGTATAAATGACAAAGTTAGCCTGCGGAAAGTGAAGATGTGAACACAGAGTGTCCATGAGCCACTTCACA